GCATGTTCTGAAAGAAAGGGTCTGATCTTCTTGATGTTGTATGAAGCAAATCTGCAGGACCGGGCAGTTTTAGCAATGTGGTCTGAGAAATTCAGCTTATCATCAATCACAACTCCAAGGTTTCTAGCTGTTTTTGAAGGAGTTATGGTTGATGAGCCTAACTGGATGGTGAAATTTTGATAAAGTGATGGGTTTGTTGAAACCACAAGCAGTTCTGTCTTAGCCAGGTTGAGTTGAAGGTGATGGTCCGTCATCCAACAAGAAATGTCTGTTAGACATGCTGAGATGCGAGCAGCTATCGTCGGATCATCAGGATGGAATGAGAGGTAGAGTTGAGTGTCATCAGCATAGCAGTGATATGAAAAGCCATGTTTCTGAATGACAGAACCTAGTGATGCCATGTAGACAGTGAAGAGAAGTGGTCCAAGTACTGAGCCCTGAGACACCCCAGTAGCTAGATGTTGCGACTTGGACACCTCACCTCTCCAAGATACCTTGAAGGACCTATCTGAGAGGTAAGACTCAAACCACTGGCGTGCGGTTCCTGAGATGCAATTTTCCAATAGTGTTGACAGGAGAATCTGGTGGTTCACCGTATCAAAAGCAGCAGACAGATCCAGCAAAATAAGTATAGAAGATTTGGAAGCCGCTCTTGCCAGTCTTAGGGCTTCAACAACTGAAACTAACTAACAAAAGAAACTGTAGTTACTCAATATGGTGTTATCAAGATTGCTCTTTTTCAGGAGGGGCTTAACAACTGCAGTTTTCAGGGAGTTTGGAAAAGTCCCAGAAAGAAGTGAGGTGTTCACCACTTCTAAGAGATCTGCTTCTAAACAGTTTAACACACTTTTGAAAAAAGATGTGGGAAGTGTGTCAAGGTCGCAGGTTGACATATTAAGGTGCTGTACTATTTCTTCCAAAATGTTGCTATCAATTGCTTCAAAAACAGACTTAACTTCTTTTTGAAATTGCGGTTGAATCTGTCTGACCTCTGCATAACTTGCCTTGCCTTGCCTTTACTTTTTTTTAAAGAAATTAATAATTTTATTCAGCATGTGAAGAAAGTTATTACATTTTGATAAGTATTTTTATTCAGAATTCATTTAATAAACATTGAACATTTGTACTTAAACTTAAACAATGTTTATAGAGTAAATCTCTGTCGCTGTGTTTCCTCAGAAAGAGAAATCCCAGCAGAACTTGCAGCCGGGTGGGCTGAAGAGACACACGTCTCTAACGGACCTGAGTCACGCCCACGAGCAACAGGAAGTCGAGTATCTGCGTTTGCAAATCAGCGAGCAGCATGGCATTATAGATGAGCTCACGCAGGTTTGTTTCTGTGAGCCATAAACACACACATGTTGATATTTGCAAGGTAAACATGGGTTTCAACATGGGTAATAGTGGGCTCACAGCTGATGAGCAGAAGAATTTCAAGACAAAAATGTGAGTTAGCCAGTTAGCAGAGGGCTACAGCAGTGCACTTGTTGTAGACTGTATACAACACATAACTGTGCTTTGAACACTCAGTAGAAAATATATACATAAATAATGGATCATACTTATAGGCTGTGATCCTTTAAGTTTCTGAAAAGCAGTCGTGAATAAAATAACGGGAACACAATGAGAGGTGAGACTCCTCAGTCCTCATCCTTTGGGAGTACATGCAAAGTGGTTTCACTTTCGCCGCACAGAAAATACTGTCTTCTACACATGGCAGCCAATAAAGATCATTAAGCAAATTTGTGACAAACCTACGTAGGTTTGTGCAGGAAGTCAGATCTTTTACATTCTCAAATAGCTATATTATACACTATGTGAAAGGCAATTTCTGAAAAAACATAATAGGTGCACTCATTTGTTATTTTCCCTCACTCACACAGCTCTGGTCACATCGGTAAATAAGAAATAATAAAATCAGGAAATTTATTTTTAAAAGTAAAGATTGTCCATTTTGATTTCATGTTGTCTTTAAATCTATTTCCAGATACATAGTCTGTGTCCTGTTTGTGTCAGTGTGTGTGCTAGTGTTGTCACGGTACCAAAATGTCAGTATTCGGTATCAATACCAGTGAAAATCCACGGTTCTCGGTACCAATTTCGGTACCAAAGCAAAACACAAAAACATGCTAATTAAAAAAATTGACTATACTTTCATTTAATCCAAACTGTGTACATATTTAATTTTAAAGGGCTTTTGAAAACCTTCTAGAGTTATTTAGCCAAGAATAACAACTAACTACACTAGCTAAAAAAAAAAAAAAAGGAAAAAAAAAGCCCAGAACTGCTTTTCTGACTGATATGACACAAACAATGTTAACCATTTGTTCATTCTCTAACACACATATTTTAGATTCACAATTAATTTAAAAGCCTCTGGTGTGTAAAAATAGTAAATATCATCATGTCCTCCTGTTTTTTTTACCCTAATAAAAGTTATAGGAGCATTAAATAGTTAATAAAGAAACTTCTAATGCTCATTATACTATGCTAATGATTAACTACTCTAATAACAGCATTCATTTCAATCCGACATTCAAATTAAAATATTGAATAATATTCATAACAGAAGTGGTGTTTCCCACAGACTTGCACTCTATCTGTGGTGGCATATATATGCAAATTCATTCTCTGCCAGCAGGAGGCGCTTGTAGAGCAGGAGAGATAGCGGTTTCCCCGGTAACGGCTGTAATCTAATAAGTGCTGTTCACAAACGCTGCTCAGGCATTACAGGCAAGATGGAATGAAAATGATATCCATAATTTTCTGAAGACAGTTGGTTTCCTTCAGAAATAAAGTGATATAAAAACACCCGCACCGGGTTTCGACTTTGACACGTGCAGTGCTCATGTTTATTCAACAAAGTCAAAGCCTTTAGGAAAATCTATTTGTGGCGGTCAGTTTTGATACTGTGGCGGGCCGCCACAAATAAATCAATGTATGGGAAACACTGAAGATCTAAATATTAAAATGAAACTTAGCTGCTTGAACTCTTTCATTTGATCTGGGTGTCTGTCTTTAAAGTGTTTTGTTAGTTTGGTGTGTTTCTTCGTTTTGATGTCGCCACGTCTCAGTGCTTTTATGAAGAGAGCGCATCTGCACACCTTTCGGATAGAGCATCAAGAACCGGGTTGACCGGGTACTCGGTACCACCGGTACTTAAAAAAACCTGGTACCGTTACATATTCATTTTTTTAGTACCGACTTGGTACCGAAGTACCGGGTATTTTGACAACACTAGTGTGTGCACTGTGTGTACTTATTCTCTAATTGGTCACACCCTGTAATTATTTGTGTTTGGTAATCAGCGCTGTGTCTGTTAATTAGTTTGTTTACTTCATTAAGGCAAAGCCTAATTAGAAATGAATTTCAGCATCACTCTCATTTTCTCTTCCCCTCCCTCATGACGTCTGTTAACATGCATGCTGATAATACAGTATTGCCAGCATCAGAGTAGTATTGCATGTGACAATGTTTATATGCACTACCGTTCAAAAGTTTTATCTATCTATTTATTTATTTATTTATTTGGTCACACTTTATTTTAAGGTCCAATTCTCGCTATTAACAAAACATTAACTATGACTTTTGCCTCAATAAACTCCTAATTTGCTGCTTATTAATAGTTAGTAAGGTAGTTGTTAGGTTTAGGTATTGGGTGGGATTAGGAATGTAGAATATGGTCATGCAGAATATGTGCTTTATTAGTACTAATAAACAGCCAATATGTTAATAATAGGCATGCTAATAAGCAACTAGTTAATAGTGAGAATTGGTCCCTATACTATACTAAAGTGTTACCCATTTATTTTAAGAAATTCAATTTTTTAATACCTTTATTCAGAAAGGGAGCATTGAGTTGATCAAATGTGGCAGTAAATACATTATTAATATGCAATATATTTCTATTTGAAATTAAAGCTTTTCTTTTAAACTTTCTATTCATTAAAGAATCCTGAATAAATGTATCATGTTTTCCACAAAAGTCATCATTGAGAATAATAATAAATGTTTTTGAGTACCAAATCAGAATATCAGAATGATTTCTGAAGATCATGTGACACTGAAGACTGGAGTAATGATGCTGAAAATTCAGCTTTGATCACAGGAATAAGTAATATTTTGTCACCGTCCCACCTGTGGGACGCTTGGCACTCTTTTTTGTTGTTGTCCTTTTTCTCTATCAAATCTTTTAGTAATCATCATAATATCATATATAATATCATATATCATTTGAAAGCTTAGAAGCCCAAGATTCATCCTGTGAAAACCATTTTGAAATCGGACATTGTGTTACCATGGAAATGGTACTTTAAAATATTTTGGTGGTCTCCTCCCCCTAAGTGGGTGGTGTCAAGTGTCATATTACAAAATGCATTACGGTCTTTTACAATCAAAACTTTTTATAATCTTGACAAATAACATATCATTGGAAAGGTCAACCTCAGGATTCCATATGGTGGTTATTTTGAGATAGAAGTATTGACAGAGAAATCTAGACATTTGTGACAGAAAAATGCATAAAAAAATTCAATGGAGTTTGGATGGCACCCGGTGGCTGTTTGTGGTATAACGCCCTAAATAAAATCTCACAGGAACCTCAATTTTTTTCATATCAACTTCAAATTTGGAACATAACTTATTTAGACATAAGGCTTTAATTTTATACCAATTTTAGAGTAAAACCTGTTATGTAAAATATTTATTATATATAAAATAAAATAAAATTAATATAGTGCATTTTCTTTACAGTAAATTTAAACTACCATAACGTTTTGATACTTTAATTATTTCAAAAAAATTCCACTTTTGCGATAATCTGCTGATTTTCTTCTTTAAAAAGAGACCAACCTTATGTCTGTATTCCAAAGTGTTCATAAATTACAACAATTTAAGTTTGGATAGTGCACCTGCACGCCTATTTAAAAAAATGGGGGGTGACAGTGAAGGGGTTAAAATATATTAAAACAGCTATTTTATATTATAATAATATATCTCAGTATTACTGTTTTTATTTTTTTTTTAATCAAGTAAATGCAGCCTTGGTGAGCATGAGACTTTCAAAAACATAAAAAAAAAAATGGTAGTGTAAACTTGTTGACCTGTAGCATTCATACTTGATTAAATGTGAAATGAAACATACTCCTTGAATGTGCTGCTGAATGATGATTCTGAGTTGTGTGTTTTTGTGTTTTATTTAATGTAATGTCTGGATGTGCTTTCAGGAACGGGACAGGATGATAATCAACAAAAAGAACAGGCGAAAAAACATCAAGTTGCCCAAGGTGAGCTGATCCTCTCATTCATAGAATTATGTTGAACCATTTCTGGAGTCTCTTTGATGGAAGTTTTGCTCTGGTTACTTTCTCTTTTCTTTAAAGCATATGGACACTGTCGCTAAGCAACTGTCTCCTCTGAGGAGTGTGTGTGTGTGTTTCTTCGTGTGTGTGCTGGTTACATTGGTACATTAATTGGCCTCTCGAGACCTCTGAGTCCAGCCAAGTTCTTTTTTCTTTCTCATGCTTTCACCAGCTAAACATCACTTAAACAGTCTCTGATTTCTTTCTTTTCTTTTTTTTTTTTGTTGCCTAAAAGGTTAAGCCAGTCATCCAAACAACTAAAAACCCTATTTTCACAATGCAAAAGTCTATAAACGCGGTTGCAATGTTACAGTCCTTCAGAGTTTGTGTATGTTTGGGTTTACTTCACTGTATTTTTGATACAAAATGATCCATTTTTTTTGTTAGCTAAATCTGACAAAACCGTCTTTGGGAACATTTGAGGATGTCCTGAATTGAAAAAAAGAATATTACTAAATAAATAAAATAATATTTTATTTTGTTCTAAAAATGGTTGAGCTTGGGTAACTAATATATGAAGTAATTAATATGTAAAGCTTATTATGATTAGCTTTATACTGTATATGGTACTGCATGTTCTCATTTAAATGAAGTAAACCTGTGTGTGTGTGTTTGTGGCGTTGTGGGGTGGGGTTTAGTTGTTCGTTCTCAAGAACCGTTGCTATGGAGGTGGAGTCAGTGGACTTGACTATAAATTCACGCAAGAGAGACGCATCAAGAGATTACCGTAACACAGGCTTTAACACACACTTTGTAACTCTCATTTCCTGTGAACACTGAGGAAGATGATGCTGGTTAAAGAGGTTAAAAGGATATACCGCATACCATGACACTGGACTGAGGAGCACAAATACACATCCAGTATGCCAGAGTACTTCCTGCTGGTGCTGTATCTCTCCATGTTCCTGTGTCTGTGTGCTCTGGTGTGTCTGTATTTCTCTGGCTGTCAGGAGATGACCTACAAACACGATGGTAAGAGCGATTGCATAGTGTATTCAAAGTCAAGTCACCTTTATTTATATAGTGCTTTATACAATACAGATTGTGTCAACGCAGCTTTACAGTGTTAAACGTGTGCTGATAATGCAAAAGGACAACAGAAAACATCAGTGATGTCTCAATCCAGCTCAGTTCAGTTCTCTTCAAAAAGTGTCTGTGCAATCAAAGGACATCTGCGTGTCAGTTAAATACTGTACGGTCCATGGAAATGATTGATTATTCTGGATTTAGAAACAAGGCACACCGTGTTCACAGCATATGTGGGTAGTACTGACAATCTTTGTGATTGTGATTCCCTCATTTCTCACATCTCACATTTACAGTAATGCACTTACAGTAAGACACTCCAAAAGGTTTTAAAGCAGAAACGGTCAGGGTCATATTTTTGTTAAATCACTCACACACACTGCTCTTCCTGGGTAGGTCATGTGTTACCATCATAATTTCTGTGAGTGGATTTTTTTTTTTGTGTGTAAACAAAAGAGAGGAGAGGCAAACTGTACTGTTCTATGGTATACTTGCGGAAATTGTGTGAAAGTTAAATTGGACTTTAGTTAGGCTAGTAAGTGATTTTATTACACTAGTTTAGTGTGAATATGGGTATAATATTTAAGTACTGTCTTCTTTCTTTTTCAGAGGCATGTTGTGGAGACATATTTTGGATTTGACGAAGAATCTGTCGATTCTGAAACGTCATCTCTGACATCATATAACACCGACCGCACAGATCACACCCCTGCCACCCCCGAAGAGGATCTTGAAGATGTATGTCATGTAATAAATTATTTTACAAACTGCACTGAATACTCTTGCAGCTCGACTACACTACCGTTCAAAAGTTTGGGGTCAGTAAGATTTTTTTTTTTTTTTTAAGGATTTCTCTTATGATCACCAAGGCTGCATTTACGTCATCCAAAATGCAGTAAAAACAGTTATATTGTGGAATATCACCAAGGCTGCATTTACGTCATCCAAAATGCAGTAAAAACAGTTATATTGTGGAATATTATTACAATTTAAAATAACCGTTTTGTATTTTTATATTTTATAATGTATCATTTATGCTTGTGATGGCAGAACGGAATTTTAGCAGCAATTACTCCAGTTTTCCGTGTCACGTGATCCTTTAGAAATAATTCTAATATTTCATTTGCTGCTCAAGAAACATTTCTTATTGTTATCGATATTGAAAACAGGTGTGCTGCTTAATATTTTTGTGGAAACTGTGATACACTTTTTCAGGATTCTTTGATGAATAAAACATTCAAAAGGACAGCATTTATTTGAAATGGAACCTTATATTAAATTATATTTGTGTAACATTATACTCTAAATGTCATTTTTGAGTAATGTAATGTGTCACTGCTGAATAAAAGTATTCATTTCTTTAAAAAAAAAAAAAAGTAAAGAAAAACTTACTGACCCCATGCTTTTGAATGTTAGTACATCCAAACCAAATGCACAAGTTAGAATCTTAATCCTGTTTACATCTCTTAAATCATAGTTTCCTGTGCTGTCCATCAAAGTTCCTGTGAAGATTTACATTTTTTCAGCCCCTATAAAAATCCAGTTGTTTAGTGTTTGTGATTCGCTAGTATGTGTAACTTGCTCTGTATGTTTGACATGGATAATACATCAAATAATTTAGCTTATTGAAGAGAAATGTATTATTATTTTTCTAAGTAAGAAACAACCTAGCAACAACCCAGTACAGCTACTTGCTTACTGTCCACTGAACATTTAATTAAGTACTTAAATTGAATTCTGAGCAACCACATAGCAATACAACCAAAACAACTCCAAACATTTTAGCAGCCACACAGCAGTATATGAAAATCATTAACACCACCCTAACATTTTGATTATCTTCTGACAGTATAAAACTGTAGTCTGCATATTCATTTCATAAATTTGGCAGCCCTGGAGAGTGTAAACATGGTGTCAAACTTCAGTGTTTGTTTAATTCAAAGCATTCATTTGAATTAGGCTTGTTATTTGGTCAGATGCAGTTAAGTGTTGTGCTCAAGGGACCGTGATGAGGCATCTCAGCTGTTCTCTTGTTCATAAGTGGCCCCTACCCATCATGTTGTTTACTGAGAGTCAGAGCTAGTTAACGAGGAGCAGGATTATAATCGAGTCATTAACTGCACCGTGAAGACGATCCCATAACAATGTGTTCTTGTAGTGTTCTCGGCTCTCTCGAATATGCTCTTCATTAAATAAGATTTTCTTCACTAAATGTCATAAAAATTAGGCACAAATCTGATTTGTTTTGAGTTTGATTTTAGTTTAATGACTGAAACTGTTACTAACTGTAAACAGTTGTTTGTTTACAACAAACATTTTATTGTAGCAAAATGTAAACTGTATTGTCGCACAGCTGTATTAAGTTTTATCTGTATATATACAGTGTGCTCACGTAAAGCAATATAAAATACATAGAAAATGTCATCTATTTTATGTGCTAAATTCGACTATAAGGCATAACAATATTAAAATATTATAAACATTAACATCATGATTTTCTGTAAAGCTGCTTTGAAACCATGTGTATTATGTTACAATGTGTATCGTGAAACAATGAGATTCATGATAATTACAGACACTTTTACAGGAATGCATTTTAATTGTATGAAATATAATAGGCCGTATGATACACAAGCAGAAGAAATTGCTGTGTAAATCTTCTGGAAAACCAAATGCGTTTGAACAGTCTGAAATGTTGGTGGGCAAATTGTAAAACTTGCATATATGCTTATTAATATGTTCATGCATATTAATTATGTGACGTCATGCAACCCAGTCCTACCTGATTCAGTGCTTGGTCTTAGTTCACTCCAAAAAAGAACGTTTTGTCTTCAAAAAGATTTTCCCACTGCAGGCAAGCAAAATCATGACTAAAAAATAGATAGCACAATAATAACCAAAATATGAATCAGGCAAACTTGCCTGAGGTTGTCTTGAATTGTTGTGTTTTTGATTTTCAGGAACTACTTAACCAGTTTTTTCCTTATAATAGTTCACATATAAATGAACATTCTGACATAATTTTCTCACCGTCATGTCGTAACAAACCTGTTACACTTTCTTGGTGCTGTATAAACTCCACACCACCTCCCCCAAAACTCTTTGGTTACCAACATTCTTCAAAATATATTATTTTGTGTTCACCAGAAAAAAGTAAGTCCTACAGGTTTGGAACAACTTGAGGGTGAGCAAATGTCTCGTTAAATTGTTTCATATTTTAAAGGTGCATCTCAATAAATTAGAATGTCGTGGAAAAGTTCATTTATTTCAGTAATTCAACTCAAATTGTGAAACTCGTGTATTAAATAAATTCAATGCACACAGACTGAAGTAGTTTAAGTCTTTGGTTCTTTTAATTGTGATGATTTTGGCTCACATTTAAATGACATTCTAATTTATTGAGATGCACCTGTACATTAACAGCTGAAAAACAAATGTGACACATGGAATTGCATTTGTTATTCGTCAGGGCTTTTCCCGAGAGGAGGCGGAGCTGCGATTTCGGCAGCTGACGCGAGAGTACCAGGCACTGCAGCGAGCTTACGCACTTCTGCAGGAGACTACAGGGCCTCTGGACCCTGAGAGACACTGCAGGGTGAGGGCCCATGACGCCAACTCCACAGACGCATGTTTAACCCCACCAACACTGGACATTCTGAAGGATCCTTTTCTTACCACTATTTTTTTGTTTTTGATCTGAATCAAATTGCACCAATGTTTAAATACAATTTAAATTAATTCCAAGACCTTTTCAGAATCTCCTTTGCCCACACTGAAATAGCACTCATCTGTTGATCACAGCCAGCATTGTAGCAAGCATGGCCGAAAATTCCTGCCTCAAAAAAAAAAACCCACCAAAATCTCAAACATTTGAAATTCTTTTGACATTCAAAAGAAGCCAGTATAGACTGTTTATGCGTACATATGCCCTAGGCTGGCTCTTTGATTGGCTCTGTGCTCTGTCCGTCAGACACGGGAGCAGCTGCAGACGGAGCTGATTGGCTGTCAGGCACGGATTGCCGACCTGGAGCGGAGCTTGGCAGAGAAGGGGCAGGTAAATAAGAAAGAGGGTGGGGAGAAGACACCCCTGACTCCAGTCACATTGGCTTTGCTGCTTGTCTTTCTGACAGCCATGCTTGTGTGCTGGCACTACACAGAGAGGATATGGCACCAAATCATGTGACTTCCCCCATAGGATCAGTCATACTTTACAGTTTTTGTTATTTCTGTACATTTCCTTTGCTTGACCAATGCTTTTTACTTAGCTTTTTCCAATGTATATTTAATCAAATCAATCAGCACAGTTAAGTATGGCGTAATCATTTCATATTCATGCTATTTGTGCCTTGCCGTCTCCCCTGTATACTATAATATAGTTTTCACAGCCTGTCTTAACACTAGATTTGAGAATTGTGCTACATCCTGTTCACTGACCAAAAATTGGGGGTGTACTAGGGCACAAATATATTGCTGGTCTTTCGTTTCGGTCTTACTCGGAATGGGATACTAGCTTACTGCCTACTGTTTTTTAAAGGGTCATAAAACCCCCTATAAAGTGCATTAGTGCACACCCACTTTTTCAGTGGCGTTGGTTCCAGAAGTATTTTTCCCATTCATTTTTGCATAGGGATTTTTAAAAAAGTCTTCAGTAAAGCATTATAAACCATGAACCAAGCCAACCAGCTATGAGGTGTATCACTACAGTACATTACAAAAGTATGTTAAAATCGGTCAAAAAGAGAAATAGATGAGACTGTAACTGCTTTAAAAAGAAAAAACTACACATTAATCATATTATACATACTGGTAAAAAATGTATAGCCTGAATGCACTGTAAGTCGCTTTGGATAAAAGCGTCTGCTAAATGCATTAAAAAAAAAAATAATAATCCTATATACTGTATGTATGTATATATATCTATATATATATATAGAGAGAGAGAGAGAGAGAGAGATAGATAGATTGATTTACAAATACATAAAGTATTTGGAGTGTTTGGAGATTTAATTATGGTCATTTGCATGCTTCATGGGATCGGGCGTTTCCTGCAGAGCATTTTTTTGGTGCGATTGCTTGCCGCGACTCTGATTGGTGGAATTTCCATACAGCATCATGGGTAATGTAGTTTCTCACCACAAATTCTTTAAGGTTTGCAAGTCATTAAAAACCATTTTCCCTAGGGAGACATTTTGTTTTCACTTCTGGAACTTTCACTTTCACTTCTTTGCACTCTATTTCAACACCCGCTAGTTCTCTCCACAGTTCTGAAAAATGGTGCAAAACTGGGTGTGGTAAGCTACAGATTAGAGAAAAGCTTAACCATTTTCTCCTATAATTAAAAAATTAACGGATGCTAACGTTGTCTTCTGTGAAGTGCAAACAACTCTTGTTAAAATCTCAGAAAATGTAGTTTAGTGTTTCATGACCCTTTAAATAGTATGTGAAACAGAACTGTGAATTATTCAACATTTGCTAAATGTTTCAAGCAGTAGTGTGCAACAATGTTTTGCATGACCTCATAATGTTAAACGTTTAATTAGGTGAATGCTGACCATCTATTATTTTAGAAATAAAAATGTAGTATTTTTACTCCAATTTTTGTAAAGAGGAGTCTGAAATTTGTTTTCAGTATGAAAGTATGACATTTCCATGCTGTGCATAGTATACATAACGCATAATTAGTAAGAGTAGTATGGTACTATGCTATTCTGAATGAGTGCATGTTTGTCATTGGTCAGTCTGCTCTTGCATGTGTTTCCTTTCTATTCTCTGCTTGTCTCTTATTGATTGCTTGATGTTTTTTTTCCTGTAAAATATGGAAATGGACTTACCTGCATGTGGCCTAATAAATCTCCTTTCTCCATCTTTAACCTCTCATTTTATTTATTTTTTCTCCATGCATTTCTTTGTTTATGCTGAGCTCAGTGTTTAAGACTGAGTATTTGATATTTGATGTGAGATTTTTTTTTTTAAATGAGAGTGTGGATTGTGTGTGATTAGTGATAATAGTCAAGTCAAGTCAAGTCACTTTTATTGTCACATCACCACAGCACATGTGCCTTGGTAATAGGAGTGTTAGTTAAGTACTAGTAGTGTAATTTGTAGTGGTGTGTGTGTTTTTGTGTGGGTTTATGTTATGCAGGACTCAAACTGGGTGGAGGAAAAGCAAAATCTTCTCAGGGTGAGCCAGGAACTCAGAGAAAAGGTACAGCCTATGTCCTTAGTTTCCTATAATATACATATACTCAAACATAAACACTTAAAGGGGTCATATGATGCTGCTAAAAAGAACATTATTTTGTGTATTTGGTGTAATGAAATGTGGTTATGCGGTTTAAGGTTCAAAAGACACATTATTTGCCACATACTGTACATTATTGTTTTTCCTCTATGCCCCGCCTTTCTGAAACGCGTCGATTTTTACAAAGCTCATCGGTCTGAAAAGCGGCCAAACCCGGCTCATGTCTACACAAGCTACATACATGAATCCATTTTACCCCTTACATACACAAAACTGGCACTGCTTTGAGTTTTATGTGTTCATGTTGTTATAAATATTTTCATACACATTTTAAATGTTTTTTTTTTCTGTTTTAAGAACTGTATATTTATATCACTATTGTTTTGTTAATTATACGTTTCTGTGGAATAAAATTTATTTGAGTGAAACTCCTCACCAATCTTTTTTTATTTTATTTTTGACTACACCTCCTGCATGTATTTTTATTTGTTTATAAATGCACAAATTCACTTTTTTTAATGGTCATGTCAAATTTTCAGTCAGCAGATCATTATTTATCCCAACACATTTGTGTGCCTATGTACTCTTTTTGTTTGCTTGTAGAATGTTATACATCTTCTATGAGATATTGAATATTTCTGTGTGATCACTGTGACATTTTTGTGAGAATGTTATTTAATTTACAGAATCCAACTTACAGCATATGGTAACTGCAGCTGCCAATTAGAAAGAACACTTTCTTAGTTCAAATTACTGCATATAATTAAGTGCATATTGTTTGATTACAGAAATGACACAAAGTGTGTGGTTTATAAGTAATTCAGTTGAAACATCTGGTTAAGTGTGTGTGCTTAAAGGGACAGTTCACCCAAAAATCCAAATTCTGTAATCTTTTACCCTTACAGTATGTTTCTCCAAACATATATGGCTTTAGTTTTTTCTGCGGAACACAAAAGAAGATATTCTGAATGTCAGTGGAGTCCAAACAACATTGGCCCTCATTGACTTTCATTTTATGGACAAAAAACAAAGACATTTTTCAAAATATTTATTTATTTATTTGTTTGTTTGTTTGTTTGTCTTTCAGCATTCTACTTTTTAAAGTATTTTTAGTCTGAGTGTTTTACACACCTTAGAACATTCTTAATATTGTACACATGGACTTTCTAATTGTAGTTAAGTCATGTGATTGGTAATGGTTTCTATACTTATTTATACATTTTGCAGACACTTTTATCCAAAGCAACAGAGGAACATAAGCAGATTGTCACAGAGCCTACAATATTCATAGTAGCTGCATACATTCTGTTCCATAATGTTGTTACATTGCATTAAGTGTGAGATGAACTTATCTGTACACCGTAAAAAAAAAAAAAAACTATGACATTTACGGTAAAATACCGGCAGCTGTGGTTGCCAGAACTTCACCGTTAAAAATATGGTAGCAACATTTTAGGTTTTACAGACTTAAATTCACAATAAAAAAACGTATTTCATTAACTGATGCAATGTTAATAAACCAGCATATTGAAATACTAATATCTGTTTTGAACCATTGTAATACTGATAACCACCAAAAACAGGTGGTGATGAGAAAGTCACATGATGAATCAAAGCTCATCACAAACAGCCCTTCCACAAGCTGAGAATGGATATATATACTAATATATATATATATATATATATAGAAGGTGCACAGTGTCATTCACACAAACACTAAACACCACCATGGTAACACACAATACTGAAATAATGTAATAAACATTAATTTAACAACATTAGATGTAAGATAAAACCCTAATGTACACAACTGATAAGAAAAAATCTAAGAAGAAACAGTTATTTCAAAGAACAAACATACAATATGAAGTGTCATGCAGGGAATTCTGGGAGTGTCAATTTACGGGTTTTCACTGTAAATTATACAATGACTTTTTCTTTTTCACTTCCAAAAACCATAATTTTAACAGTATTTTACTGTAAAATTACATTAAATGTAATTACAGTTATTCACCGTATATAGTATGGAAACTTACTGATGATAACCAATTAACAGGTTTTTACTGTAGCATTTTTACAGTCTTTTACTGTTAAAATCACAATCATTTTTTACAGTGTATGTTTAAGTCTTTTATTAGCACCCTGATGTATATGAATGTCACCACTACCTTTTATGTTGTTTCAAACCCATATTAGTTTATTTATTCTGTTAAACACAGATACATTAGTGAATGTTTGGAGAATATCCTGGCTTTTCTTTTCATGCAAGTAAAAGGAAACTACCCTTGTAAAAAAGAAGCACACTTTAGCATTCTTTTAAAATATAGCAATACATTTTCATAATATACTTTAAAACAATATGCTTAAGTGTGAACTGAATGTAATGTTTTTGGACACTTAAATGCGTATTGTGTTCTTTAAATCATGACAAAAGATCAGTAAAACCATTATTTACTATAAAGAAAAATTTTAATTACATTACAAAATGTACTTTTTAAGTGTATAAAAGTGTCTTGAAAGTGTACTCGCTATTACACTTAAATGGTCTTTTATTTAATCTATATATATCTGCAAGTAGTTTATATATATATACTTTTAAGATTTGAAGTACACTGCCGGTGCATATCTTTTTCACTAGAGTGGTGCTGTCATGCTTCAATAATGATAAAAAATACATATTAAAGTACCATAAATGTGCATAGTGTCCAGTCTCCTGAAGTCACATAATTGTGTTTGTGCGATGAAAAGACCAAAATTTAAGTCATATTTCACTATGCTATTTTATGACTTAAGAAGACTTGGAGAATCTTTATGTGCTCCTTTTTTGTCATTTTTGCCCCCCTCGGTCACTCTTCATTTTTTTGTGTATTGTTGAACAGTTACTTCTGAAGAAAGTTTTATTTTTGGTTGAACAATCCAGAAATATTTAATTATTTAACTGTTACTCTAAAACTACAATTTCTCTCCAGATACTATACATACCAAAAAATGCTTTCCCTCTATATTTCACCACCAATTCCTTTTTTAACCAATAGGATAGGGAACGCCGTTCTCCTGCCTTTAACCTGCAAATCTCTGCCTCTGAAAACAACAGTATCCTACAGCTACACTGCCGACAAGAGGGTGTCAAGGTAAATCCCACACACTACTGGCATATTACCATGTAATGCCAAATTTATTAATGTTAAGGTACTTAATTCAAAACTATATAATGTACTAACTGTAGTAATGTGTGGTTGAAGGAATGTGAGTTTAGCTCCATTGATTTATACAATACGATACACTATACTTTATACCAGTGGTTCCCAACCCTGGTCCTGGAGGCACCCCAACACTGCACATTTTGCATGTCTCCTTAATCAAACACACCTGATTCAGGTCATCAGCTCATTAGTAGAGACTCCAAGACCTGAAACTGGTGTGTCAGAGAAAGGAGACATGCAAAACGTGCAGTGTTGGGGTGCCTCCAGGACCAGGGTTGGGAACCACTGCTTTATACTATACAATTCATATACAATACCACAAACTGCACACTTCACACAGCTGCATATATGTACTGTATGATAACATACTGTATGTTGGCCTCATCTTCATGTGTGTTTGGTTTAGGATGTCATCATTCCTGACCTCATGAAAAAGCTTGACATTCTTGGGGATAATGGGGTATGTTTTTTTGCCATTATATGTGCATGCATTACTCCTGTTTATCAAAAAAGAGAGTTGAAATGAACACTTCACTTTTCATTGGCAGAACTTGCGAAACGAGGAGCAGGTGACAGTCATTCAAGCAGGCACTGTGCTGTCTTTATGTGAAAAGGTATAATGTCCTTCATTCTCTAAGTCCTTTAAGATAAGGTGCCTTATATTTTGTCAGTAGTTCTATTGTATTGCTATGTACTTTAAAATTTGGTGTTGAAAGAAGTTTTTAAAAACATCTTACTGAACCCAGACTTTTAAACAATAGTGTCACGTCGGTGGAAGTTGATCACAGGCAGTGTATTTGTTAGCTCAAGTAAAAACGAATGTACTGTATATTTTTAGTGATTACAATAAGTTTACAAGATTACAATAAGAAAATATTAATTTAAAATTGTTGTTTTGTACAATAAGTAGAAAAGTTACAGGGCATCAGTTTGTACCATATTTGTGGCAAGTGCCAGTTTGGTCAGTTTGACCAAAAGTAAATGTCAAATTCATGAAAAGATGTGAAACTGTTTAAAAATCAATTCCGCTACATAATCTGGCCAAACTCATTAGCGTTTGCCATTTCGAAAGCATTGTGTACATGTTTGTTTGTTATGTTTAGAGGGTGCAGGAGCTGGAGGCCACATTATACGCTGCCCTGCAGCAGGATCCAGACAGCTGTGTGGGGGAGAGTTTGAGTGACAGGCAGCGAGCGAAGCTGGCTGAGTCAATGGATGCAGTGCGGAGACAGATCCTGCGGCAGAGTCGCCATGCCGACACGCTCGTTCTACAACAGCGCATGGAGCTCCTCCAGTCTGCGCAGCAGGTCGGGAACCGTGCATGTGATAATTACCAAAATTTCCAAAAAGTATTTGTCCAAGCTGCTCTTCCACATAATGAAAGTGAATGATTGTCCCTGGTTCGCATTCACTTTCATTGTATCTTGCACTCTTTTTGTGTTTCATTCAACAATGATTTGATACTTTATCATTTGACTTACAGAGGATCAGAGAACTTGAAGATAAGATTGACATGCAGAGAAGACAAATCAAAGAGATTGAAGAGAAGGTGTGTATGGATGTGTCCTTCTCTCGTGTTTATCAGAGTGGTAGATCATGTTCTGGATAGATACTGTCTCTTAAATGTTCTTCTTCCAAATTGGGCTGTAAGACTGATTCCTCTTCTCCTCTCCTCTCTCTTGTTTGAAATTTGTGTTTATTATAATTTATAGTTTTTGTTCCTTTTCTTGTTTTTCTCACTAGCTTTTATTCTCTGGCCTTAAAACCCACACACATCATATTCTCTCTCTATATCGCCTTCTGTCTCTCCCTGTCTTTCTCAAACACAAACAGGTGCAGTATCTAGATGAGAGATACAAACTCATTTTGCCACTAGAAACTTTGGTGACACAATCATTCCTCGGTTTGTTGTACAAAACATGTTTTTAAATATTTTATGAAACATTCGTATTTCAAGAGTTCCAGAGGCTGCTTAATTTTGTTTTGTCCGATTGAAAATAGTGCAAACAAATATAAATAAATGCACCCTAAATATTTGTTATAATGAGTATTTCAAAACACTTCAGCAATTGTCAGACTGCTTTTAGTTTCAGTAAATAAAGCTGTATTTTTTTCACATGTGCTCTTGAAGGTTTTATTAAAATTATGGATAACTGTACATTTTTAAAGTTTAAATCAGATGTGAACAAGACAATGGGTGGTGCACATTCTTTACTTGAAAGCAAGCTATTGTTTAGATCAGCCAATAGGTGGCAGTAAAGTAATAATCCATCCCTCATCCTTTTGTTGTCTGGGACGGGCAAAGGACTGCAGACTGTCTCACTCACCTGACCTGAGTTCACCTCACTGTGCTAAGACTTACCACATGGAGATGACAAATTTTCTTAGTCACAATCAGAGAAGGTGGCAGACCATTAAAAAAAAGGGCATGTGAGAAGACAAGGTGCAGCCAGAAAAGTATGGATGCATGTGTGAATGAAGGCGATGAAAGAAAGAGGAGCAGAGTGTAAAAGATATCAGCAGGAGTGAGGTTGAACACCTCAGAAGGTTCTCGTACTCGCTGACAAACAGGAAATAAACCCATGTGTTTACGCACAGATTCCTGAGCCAGAGAGATGATCTCAGCTAAAGCCTGAACAAACTTGCCTGTCAAAAATAGAGTTGGACAGAAAAAGAGAGATTTGATTTAATCAGTGTGAGCTACATGATTAAACATAGTGCAGATTAGCACTCATCTGGAAAGAGCGATGAATGAATGATGATGTATGATGGACACCTGACGCAAACCACCAAACACAAGCTGCTCCAGCTAGTGATTTACCATATGTTACCATATTTTCAGATACCTTTATTCAAACTGTCCTTCACACACACATTCTGTCTTCCTTTCTGGGTGCCTTCTGCCAGGGCATATTTTTAGTTCAGAACAGAAGTTTGGTGGGGATGAGAGGGGAAAGATGCAGACCCCCACGCTGCTGACGCACTCTCTTAATCACCCCAACTAATTCACGCCGGCCCCCCTCCTCATGTCACACACTTTATATGATCCTTCCATTCATTCTTCATGTGACTGATATGCATCTGATACATATTCACTAATGTACACGCCATCTAATAAGCTTATTAGTGTCTGATGCACACATTAGTGTATACTTCATCCATTGCTCTCACTTGTGCTTTCACTCCGTCTGATGCACTCCATCTAATTCACTCACTAGTGTATATTCCATCTGATGCACTACATCTAATACGCTCACTAGTGTACTCCATTTGGTAAATCTAAAAAAAAAACTAGTGTTCACTTTATCTGTTACATACTCAATAGTGAACACACCATCTGATGTACTTATTAATGTATAATTTATCTGATAAATAATCACTGGTGTACACGCAGTCTGATACAAAATGATTAGTGTATACTCTAGAGATTAGAGTACATACTAGTGTATTCTCCATTTGATAAATATTCACTAGTGTATATTCCATCTGATGACCTCCATCTAAAGCTCTCATTAGTGTGTACTCAATTTGATAAATATTCACTAGTGGACACTCCATCTGATGCATATTCACTAGTGTACACTCCATCTGATGCATATTCACTAATGTGCACTCCATCTGCACTCAGTAGTGTACACTCCATCCGACAGTGTTCACTAGTGTATACATCTGATGCACACTAGCTATTGCAGGTAGTGTACTGCGCTACTTCAGTATGGCCTTATTTGTCCCCAGCAACAGAATGTTATTTGTGGTTCAAACTTGATCTTTTTTTAGTCTCTCCCCACATTCTGTTCACCCCTAAATTAATAGCGCTAATGATCTTGCAGGCGGAACATTTTACACTTGTGCTCTGTCTAAGGACACACAAGCACACACACGTGTACCCTCTCAGGCATGACACACAACTGATGATGCACGTCACAGCCACGCCAACACACGTCCATGCAAACAGAACCATCTGGAGAGAGCGTATAAGGAGATGATGAGATTTAGGAAACGAGAGATGAATGAATGACCAGCTCATGAATGCCTGAATGCAAGTGATTGACACACAAGACAGCAGAACAATGCAGAACAGAAAGCCTAGAACAAACAGCATTCTGTGGAAGAATAGAGCGAGTGCGTCTTCAGAGGAGAAATTTCCAGTCAAGTTATTTTGAAAGTTTGTATGCACACATATGGAGGTATAGGAAAGATCTATTTATGACCTCAGTTGTTACTCCTAGACAGCATTGAGATTAAATGGAGAGTTTGCTTAAGTCTCCTGTTTATCCCAAGAAAATGATCTGTTATCTTCAAAGTGTCTCTTTGTAATGGCCAGATTGTCATTTGCATTATCATTATCATACCTTTTCATATAAATATTATTTTAGTAATTGTTTTTCTCGTTTAGTTTATTTCTCCTAAGAAATTTATGGGAAAACATCGGAGATAAAGTTGATTCCTAATTTAATCATCAAAGTCCATGACATTAAATGTGCTATGAAAGATTAACCTCTGAGCAATACACCTTCTAGGGGTTTTAGATTACTTGTTTTGTTGTATTGCTGAAGGGTTGAATATATAAAATGACTATCAGTTTATATATTCATGTTAGCTTGTGTTTATTAACTAAGTGGAATAGTCTCTTACATGCATACTGGCAGCTAACTGAATGCTCTGTTAGGGACTTAAAAACTGTATTTTAGCCATTTTAACATTGGGGTAAGATTTAAAAATCGAATTGCCTCTCCATACCATCTGCTCAGTTAATGCTTACACACACACACACACACCCACATACCAACAGATCAAATACTGCAACAAGAAAGCACTCAATAAAACACTTTATAATAAGGAATATTTATTTATGGTGGTTTTATTTACAAGTTGTTTTTTTTAGACAAAGACAACGTTTGTGTTTGACATTTCTTTCTGTAAACTTGCTCAGAGAGAAAGACTATGTGATATCTTACACACAGAGAAAACACAGATCTCTCACCTCAAACAGTTCCTGAGTTCTTCAGGTTGAATTAAACATTGACTTCCTGCCCTAACTTCACCTGATACTCAGGTGGCACAACTCAGATTAACTAACACAAACCAAAGTACTTAACACGGTTTTAACAAATGAAAAACATTAGCGACAGTCTTTGTTAGTCAGTTCTTCCATTAGCTATCTGTTCATCGTATCGTTTACAGTGGCCCCAAAAATATTTGGACATTTAAACCACTCCTAAAAATGTCATTGCATTAGGAAATAAAATATCAAAGCAAATGGCATCTGCTTTTAGTTAATCGCTTCAACTATGCACATTTCATTTTGAAAATCAGAATGTGTCCAAATACAATATCTCTATTGTTTTATCATTTTAAACCTAATAAACCTTTTTGTGAAATGTTCTTCTTGAAATTTGGACATTGTAGCATAAGTGCCTAAATACTTTTTGGAGCCACTGTATCTGATAGTGTATGGTTTAGTACCCAGCATTCACCAAAAAGACAAATAGATCTACTCTCTAGTCTATTGACAGTCTCCTGTTGGAAAAGTATGTCTAGTTTGTGTATGTTCCTATTTACATGATGATGTGACGGTAATTTGATAACTGACGTAAGCTCATTTGTCAGCATGAGAGTTTTCCTCTCCATGTTGAAACTTTCCCTGCCATCTTTGGCATTGACCTCTAGTTTAATTTTCCACATCACTGCCTTTTTTCTCTTTGCCCCTCTACTTGTCCTGTGTTCTCTGATTTTAGAGAAGGACGTGACTTGAGGTGGTGTTGCAAAGCCTGCTGGCAGTGCATGCATGCAGTAGCTCTGTCTCTGTTGTACTTTATGAATTGCACAGTGTGTGTTGTCTTTAATTTGTTGTTGTGTGCCAGTCTTGTCACCCTTTCCTGCATGGCTGCTTCTATGCATTTTTTAGCATAAGCCCGATTGCAGGAGAAAGGTAGTGGAGCATAACAGAAGAAGAAGAGGAGGAGAAGGAAAACTCAGCTGAAGAGAAGGTGAAAAGAGAGAGTAAGTGCTGTGAGCGAGAGGAAGGACAGAAGTGAAGACGAAGAGGAAGATGGGAGAATGGGAGAGTCGTATCCTGGTGGACATTCAAGCTCGAAACAGCGGACTGAGGCTGCATCCTCATTGCCATAGTTTGCCCAGTACTCTTCAGGCTCCAGCTTGGGTAAAGCAGCCTCCTCCACTGTGAGATCGTACTTGGATGATGAAGATGAGGGATGTTTGACAGAGGTGAATGGAAAAGCCTTCAAGGTCTCGCTGCTCTTGTGAACGTGGCTCTTGGATGATGAGGCCGGTTTGTTCTTGGAGAACCACCAACGGGTCTTGGTGCTGAAGGTGGTGGTTGTAGTGCCAGCCAGGGATCCTGGGTCAGGTAACGGGCAGAGGGCGAAGTCCAGCTCCCGCAGGAACCTCAGGTCCTGGCCTTTACGAGGGGCTGGTGAAGAGCATGTTAGGTCTGAGCTGGAGATCCGAGCTTTGCGGAACCACTCCCATAGCGACCTGGCTTCACAGCCGCAGGTCCAGGGGTTACCATTGAGCCTGAGAAACTGCACCAATGACGTATCCTTCAACACCTGGCCTGGAAGCTCCTGCAGAGAGTTGTTGAAGAGATAGAGGATGGTCAATCTGCCCAGGTCACGGAAGGCTCGCCGATGGACTTGTCGGATGCGGTTGTCATGCAGCAACAGGCGGTCAAGATTCACCAGGCCGCGGAAGGCATTTTCAGACAGGACACGGATATGATGTTCTTGTTCACATTTGAGAAGAAGCTGTTCCACATCTTCTTAAAGTTCTGGAGTGATGCAGACATAAGGAAACAATTTGTCATTTATCATGGCGGATTAAATACTATATAACAGCTGCTATTTAAGATATCATTGCTGGGTTAAGTAATATCCACATTTATTCCGCTTGAAGAAAGCAGTTCTAGGAAAGACTCTCTGTCCAGTCAGAGACACCCTCTGTCCATGTCCATCCAGGATAGAACAGAACAGTGCCTAAGAGTGCATGAAACAAAAAGGCCAGATTAATTTCAGGTTTGTGAAACCGAACCCGATTCAATTACTGCAGCTCATGAATATTTAAGAGGGGACCTCACGGGGATCGGCGACTCTACACAATAACATGGCGCTTAAAGACACGAATGGTTTGAATAAATCATGCTGTGTGCATTCATGTTGCCTGCACAAGATTTTCCTATTACCTGACCCATGACCTGGTCACTCCACATCCCTTCCAGGAGAAGATCTACTAATCCACTGCACAGGACTAATGTGGAAAATTGTACGGTGTAAATGTAACTGTGTTACATTTTTGCGTAACTGCATACCCGTTTTTGTTAACAGTAGCTTTGTAAGTTTCTCAATGTTAAGAAATGATTGATTATTCTATATTTATCCTGGTTACATCAAAGAGGTTAATTAAAAATAAGTTTGTCTAGTCGCATTACACTTATGGATTAATCAGAATTTGCTGTATTGAGGTCAGACCAAACTGGGACTGGGAAAATGTAAAAATGTAACGCTACAATGTAAACGTACAAAAATGTGTATATATTATTTATTTTTTTATTTATACATATCATGTATTTTTTATGTATTTTGTATGTTGTATATGTTATAAAATATAAATGTATATCAAACAAAAGTAGAGATAGTTATCACTACTTTTGTTTGTTACGCAGTTATTGCTACATATTTATATTTATGTGTGCAGCTTGTAAAATTCAAAATATAACATTGATTTAATGTGTTTTACGTGTACATCAATACATATATAATATAAACATATACATGTTTTAAGCACAATATAAGCAAAAATGCATGTAAATAATGTCTATATTACGCTTCAAATTAAATTACGCACAATCAGTAAACATTAACTGATAATTACAATAAAAAGTTGGTACTTACTCTTGAAGGTAAGAGTATTGGAGACGCGAGCGCTCCGCGCAGCCGCACGAGTTTCCATCCCAAAATCCAAACCGAGAGCGAGTTAGCCTGAGCGCGAGCTGCTATCTGCTCTAACGGTCAGCTCTGGTGCTCGAGTCGACTGCGAGTCTGCGACTGAGGAGCGTCGCGCACCCCGGGAGCGTTTATAGTCCAGCACCGGCTGCCCACGGACGAGGGAAGCAACGGAATCTCTCATACGTAACGAGCGCGCGGGCGAGAAGCACGTTGGCGGGGGGAGGAAACCGGACTGTGTGTCTGAGTGAGTGTATTGAGGGGATGACTAAATAATGTTAACGGTTGTTTTACACAGATGACTGTTCTTTTCTCTAGAGTCATACTAGTAAACAGGCTAGGATACAACAACCTCATTTATGCAATCTGTGTGTAGGCTACAGATAAGGTTAATGGCAGAAAAACTAAATACACTTTTGAGAAGTAAGATTAGATTATAATATAAATCGATTTGGTTATTACAGATAGGCATATTAACCTATATTATGGAGGTATTTAAAAAAGAAAAAATCAGTCATTTGTTATAATATGGATCCTGAATGGATCCATTTTTATTGATTTCAGCATACATTTTAGATGATATTTGAGTCATTATTCACATGATGGAATTATGAGTTTCTGACTAGTAAAAATTGTTCACATCTTTGTCAGAGTCTTACAAATTATACATTTGATTTTTCTATTTAATTGTTTTAGTACAACTAGTACAACAGAACATGTACAGTATGTTGTGTTTTTATTTCACATCTTTTTTGAAACCATGACGCTGGAAGCATCAACTTTTGAGAAGGCTCTTCTCCCACTTGACAGCTGTCATATAATATATATATATATATTTTTTTATTTATTTATTTATTTATGTTTTGTTTTTTTTTCCCCATAGGTTTTTAACATTCTAAAAGCTCTTTATTCCAAAGATACTACAAGCTAGTCATATATTTTTTTTTATTTATTTATTTATTTATTGAACGAAAATATATCTGTGAATAAAAGTTGTGACTAAATGTCTGCTTAAACCAGCCTGATTTGCTGTTCTTAGCTGGTTAAGATGCTCTCCCAGTTGGCCAAGGTGCTGTTTAGCTGGGTGACCCATTTTTAATGCACTCTTATAGTAGTTATAATATATATATATATATATATATATATATATATATATATAT